GTCCTCCTCCTGAAGGCAGGCGGCGTCAGCGGACGTGACATGGGGGGAGGTTGGCTGAGTTCGAGCGTGCTTTAAAAAAAAAAAAAATTTTAGGAGTCACAACATCGGGGCCTGTGCAAACACGGGCCAGATGTAGTCGGCTAACGGTTAACTGCGCTCTCCTCCCCCGCCTGACTGACACTTTTAAAGGGGTCTCTCCTTCACCGCTGACGTTGGACCGGGTAGGTCAAAAAGTGAGTCGAAACGCGAGCCCTCAAACAGTCGTGACTACGACGAGAGGTGTCGCTGAGCGACATCTTTTGGGTTTCGTTTGATCTCCGGGAACAGCGTTTTGTTTCCCTTCTCTCTCTCTCGATACATTAAGGTGCCTACCGCAACGCACGTGATCAGAGATGTGTGGCGGAAAAGGACGCAAATGCTGATGGCAAAAAAAAAAAAAAAAAGCAAATGTTCCACACCAGCGGTTGTGGAAAAACATTCAATAGTGGAGTTGAAAGGCCGAGGTCATCGCTTACTTTTACTGCTGGAGTGTATTATTTCAGGGCCAAATGGGTGTCACGAGGGTGCGCGAGGCACTCAAACCGAGACAAATGACGTCACGTAAGACTCCCCGTTGAATTTGCTTCACGCTTGGTCCTTACCTCCAGGAAAAGCATCCTTCTTCCCCACCTGATGCGAACGTCGGCCCGCTTCCTCTCAGCCCCACAGCGCTCGCTCTACATATGTGCACCGCCAAGGCCGACACGTCTTGACTCTAATCAGTTCCAGATCCAGCTGGGTCAGGAAACCCCACGCACCCCCCACCCACTCCCTCCCCTCCTTCAAATGTCTCAGAAAGTTAAGAGGGACCCCCCCTTTTCAGCTGCGGAGCACCTCATTGAGGGAACCCGAAATCCTTGAGAAGGAGGTCCAAGAGAGACAATGTCTCTCTCCGGAGTGTCTCAAGATCCCAAGTGTGTCGCGAGTGCATGTGTGGAGGCAGGTCTGACTCGCCGGCCCCTCCCTCATCCCTCCCCTCGCCTGCAAATAGCCTGCCAATGCACTTCAATCAGTGACACCCCCCCACCCCCACTCTGACTTGACTGCAAAGGTTTCCTGAGTGTTCGATGACACGTCCCAAGATGACATAGAAACAGGACCAGGCTCCTGATGCAATCGGCACCCCCAAAATGTGCCGCTTTCCGCTTTCCGGCCTTGTCGTGTTGTCCAGGGCAGTATTTGTGATTTGGAATTCCAACAAATTAGCAGACACTCTGCGACTCCTCGTCATGCTGCGGCAGCTCGCCGGTGACTTATTTGGACAAGGTCGCAACCATCTGTCATGGTAAAAGGCTGAAAAGAAAAGCAGGAGTCGTCTCAAAACGCTCCGGCTTGAAAAATGAGTGGACTCAATTGTCCGATGGGACAAAGATGCCCCCCACCCCCCTCACCCTGACAACCAGGCTAAGTGACTTAACAGAAGGGACGACGGGGCTGTTTGTCACATGCCAAATTAGCTGCCGCCAAGAAATAACAGCAGCAGTCGCTAACTCGCTTACGGAGAAGCGCTTTGGCGTCGCGGCTTTCTTTCCTGGCAACGCGTCGAGAAACTAAAATGACTGCTCACAACGGACACCTCGCTCTTAATAGCGATTGTACTCTCCTCCCGACTGATCTATCCAAGTGTGCCCTGTGTGAAGAGCACCAATAATCCAAAGGGTGACGACGAGTTGGGCTAAAGCGCAATGGAGCGTGAGTGGCCTCGTCCCACACAATAGGCGCACATCCGTCTTTCAAAGCGGGCCTGGTCTTGTAGTTCTTTTGGGGACGCACACAATGGCAACATTGACCTTGCCGTCTCCTCCGCTTCCTCTTAAGAAGTGGTCAAACGTATTGGAATCGTGTATCTGTCGCGCTGCAGCCGATTAGGAGCTCGGCGCTTTACATGATGTGGTCGACGAGGTGTTGCTGCAAAGCAGCCGCGTCATGCGGCAGTCTTTTGCCCCAGTTGTTAGACGCGCGCTGAATGGATTCGACTCCGGTTCAATTCACATGCCCGACACTCACGAGCACAAAGTTAACGAATGGACGGTTTATGCGATGACCTCTGACCCCGAGCATTTGCCAGTGCAAAGGCATCATGTCTGTGAAACTGGAATGCGATGATTGCGTCCGCTGGATTCATTTTTATTATTTGGTGTCACCTTTTGGGGGGCTTGTTTTTGTTTTTTTGGCAGACTGTAGAGTATTTGTTTAAAAAAAAAAAAGCCAAACGATAATCGCGAAATAAATACATTTCAAATCAAGCCCCGAAATCTGATGTATAAAATGAATCAGCAGAGATGGAAAACAAGGGACATTTTCCCTCTAAAAGTCATTCTCACCTGCACTCAATAAGCGCCACGGTGTTACATCCCCCCACGGAAGGACAACAGTGGTTAAATGAGCCCCTTAGAATGTAAATATCACAGGCGGCGGCCCTGCGCTCGCTCTGAACAGAAATCGCGAGTGTGTCTCAACTTGTTGCGGTGTGATCAAAAGCAAGTGATAGAGGCCATCCCTCATGCTAGCGTAGCGCCGAGCACAAAGACGAAGCCCGCCCCCGTAAAATGATTTCCTGGTTTCTGAAAGTCAATGTGACCACCTTGAACCGCTCACAACCTCAAAATACCTCTAAATCCAGAAACCCGAATCATTTTTTTTTACCTCACGACATAGCCCTTCCGTTGACAAGCCTCGACGTATAACTCACCCAAGGGGGCATGTCTAAATCGGAACGCGCGGCGATTTATGACGCAGTTTATCTTAGCAAAGTATATCTGCTGTATCTGTTTCGGATTTTAATAAGCCTTGACCCCCCAGGCCTTATTATGCGCAGCTGCGGCCCATCCAGCAGACGTCTCAATTCGCAGCGCCTCACTTTCTGCCGCTTAGCCCAAAGCTCGTCCTCGCTAACGGCTCGGCGGACGTCTTGCCGGTTCGGTGTTAATATTCCTTGACACTCCTAAACTATGGCTGATTTAGGCTCCTGGTCGTAAAAGCCATCGCTGAGATTTGCTAACTGCCGCAGGGTGTTACTTAAACGCCGTTGGGACAATCGGGGCGGGGGGGAGGGGGGGGCAGCCGTAAAAGTGCCGTAAAATGCAGGAAATTGTCAAGTGACTGGCAAGCGACCTTAAGGCGAGGTTGTGAAGTAGCGGCTTTAGTTACCGTCCCGTGTTCCACTTGAACCAATTAGCTGCGCGCGGATTCGGTTTCTTATGTCGAACCTTTGCCACATCTTTGTTTTTTTTTTTTTTTTCCTCCCCCCTCTTAGATCAGTTCAAAGAAGAAGAAAAAAAAATCCAAAACGACTTCTTCAGACCACACAGAAGCATCTCACCAGTCAACAACTTCATTGCAGCCGCAGGTCTTCCTGTACGCTTCTCCGTCGGTGAATCCTGGCCTCTAAATGATTTCTTTTTTTGTTTATTTTGCAAAAATTAGTCTCCTTGAGAGAGAGAGAGAGAGAGAGAGAGAGAGAGAGAGAGAGAGAGAGAGAGAGAGAGAGAGAGAGAGAGAGAGAGAAGAAAAAAACAGACAGGCAAGACGTACCGCAGCTGAACCTGCGAGGAAAATTCATACAAGACGCGGCTTGAAGAATGTTGTTGACTCGCGTGGAGAATTATATCGCCGGATTGATTTACAGTCGCGTCGCACCGAGAGCCAAAATAAATGCTGTCAATCAGCGCTCAGCGCCTCAGACGCGGAGATGTAAAAGGTCTGTTGAACAAATCATTTAACAACGTCAGGCGAGACGGCTCGTCGCGTGACATTTGCCAACCTCCCTCCTGCACATGCAATCCGTGCCGTATCTTGAAAATCGAGACTCCGCATTACATGTCGGACGGCGATTGAGGGCGTGTCCACGATGGCGTCATGACCGGGATGCTGACATCAGTCAAGCGTCACAGATACACAAAGACATTAAAAAAAAAAAATGGAATTAAAAGCTTTTTTTTTTCTTGTACTTGTGTATAACCCCCTCTGACCACACCCCCCCCCCCCCCCCCCCCATCCTTAGATGGCCTCTCTGTTAATTTGGACCGAAGTGATTGTTCCGCTTAAAACCCTCCTCTGGGCTTTCTCTGCGTCTCGCACGGCCGCGGTCTTAGCTCTCTAAACACACTGACGACTAATCTGCAACAGATGGAAGAGGCGATGGCGAGAGGAAGCGCTTTGCAGCCTTCGCGAACCAAATGATCGGCTTTCGGGCCATCCCAGTCATTGGATGTGCACCGCCGTTCCCCAAGGGGCTCCTTCGGACACATTTGGACTTCCGTGCTGCCCGTCCACAACCAGATGTGTGAAAGGGCCCCGAAGGGCATTCCGGGAGAGCCTCCCACTCCTTCATACTCTCCAAAACAGCCGATTTACAGTTGTGAAGCCACCCCAAAACTCTGCAACCTATCAAAAAAAAAAAAAAAGTGTATGGCCGCACGTAAACACGCCCTAACGTTTCGGGTTTCACGGTTGGCTGCTTGGGGATAATGAGCGCCTTCGCTGGCAGCTTAGTGTCTGTTTTATTTATTTATTTTTTTGAGGTCAACAGTGTAAACACAACAGGCACTTTTAAGTCCCTCATTAATGCAGAGGGCAATTTGAAGCTCGCGTTCACAAAGGCGGTGAAGGAACAAACGGAGCTCCGAGCACTGTAACCCAGACAACAGTCGCAACGGCTGTTTGTGTCGCTGCGGCCGGGCGCTCGGAAAGTCCCGAGCTTTCATCCGCCGGGCGTTGACGACGTGTCCCCCTCTTGAAGAAACGCTGCAAAGTCAAAGACGTTGAGCCGACGTGATCGGGAGGCGCGCTTGAAAGTAGTATTTCGATTTACTTCTGTTCCCTCTCCAAAATCGGATGAGAATTTGTTTCCGCGGGTGAGCAATTTCCGATTGGCTGCAGGCACGAAGCGATGCGACGCAATGTCAGCATGGCTGTTCAAAAAAAAAAAAAAAAAAAGTGACTCCGTGCTTTCCTGAGAGTCTCTTCCTGACTCCGAGTATCATCAGATTGGACGAAACCATTTCCCCTCTGGACGATTTGAAAGGATGACCACCCGGGTGGAAAAGATCTCATCTTGTTTATGCCTTTTGATATGTACTCATCATCTTTTTTGTGGGGGGGGGGGCATGTTTAAAAAAACTCGGAAAATACACGGAGCGAAAATAGAAGACAGATGAGCGTAGCGCGCACGAGCCCAATGTCGTATATTCTCCGGGTTTGTCGCACTTCGGAGTCCTCGCGCAGCCGCCGCCAAAGCTGTTTCGATTGCCGTTGATCACGCGTTGTACAGGCCGCACCGAGCGCGCGGCCAATTTTGCAAACCGTAAATACTGTGAAATGTCACCCTCGCGCCGGCAACGCCGCAGCTTGTTATTGCTGCCGTGGCAACGCGTGCCTGACATCACGCACCCGTCGCCAGGTTGGCCCGTTTTCTGAGCGCGCGACTCTTCGGCTTGGGGTGAAAATATCACTCCCATTGGCCCGCGCTGTGTTTTGACTCGGCAGCGACCCGAAAACCCCCCAAAAAGCCGTCATTTGTCTTTCCCGTGTCGCTGGGTGGTCACATAATTACGGTCTTGCCGCTCCGACATTTTCAATGAGATACTATCTATACTATTAGACTAACGAGCCTTTTAATTATTATCATCTAATAATCATCACCTTTTCATGTCTGCCTGGTTGGAGACTGACTGGGGCTGTCTGGGAAGCTTTCTGAAGGTGTGTGTGTGTGAGTGTGTGTGTGTGTGTGTGTGTGTACACGAGGGCTTTAATCATCATCAAATAGAGCTGTGTGTACAGGTAATTAAGTTGGTGCCGAAGCGACTCTCAGTCGCAGCTGGGAGTCTTCGCTCTGCGGTCTCCCAATTCGTGTCGGCCATTTTTCTTCAACGTCTGGTCGACTTGCATTCCCCCACAAACTGACCATAATACTCGCCTTGTGCAGCCAGTGCGGCCTGCAGGCTTCAGTGTGTAACCACGAAAGCAAAAAAAATAGTTGACAACCCCCCACCCCCAACCCTCCGGTATGCTAACACCTTCGAATTTGTGCGCATCTCCAGATTGCCCTTTTTGTTGGACAACGGGAAAAAGTAAACAATTGCAACGTTTTAGGACCTTTGCTTTGTTGGATGCATCTCTGCCTGTACAGACGTGAGATACTAAGCCAGACTTTGGGCAAAGAGCGAAAAAAACTAAACACAAAAGAAAGATAAATACACTTTGTGGGTTGAAAACGACTTTGTGGCTTCGCCTTTTAGCCCAGTAGGTTAATGCTCAAGCTAAATAGCATCTGTATTGTAGTGCTGTAACTCTTTCCGTCAGTGGTCCCCGAACACCGGTACCATTTAAAAAAAAAAATATTTGATTGTATTTTTTTTGTAGAGTACCATATATGTTCCGATCGGGAATGTACGTTAGCACCCAGGCAGGAATATAGCCAGCCGGCATTGTTCTAGCTATAGCTAAGCTAGGCAGGGAGTTGGCCAATTCGCATTCCAATTTGTGCACAGCTCTTGTCAGCACATAACGAAACAGGAGTCATTCTGTTCCTTATCCTCTGCAAAGAATGGCCCATATTAGTGCTGTACCGATGAGCTGAGAGGAGTTGAGACGTCTCAGTGAACAGCAAATCCTTGCGTCTTGTCTTATTCTATTTCATTACCTTCTTATTTCTGCAAAGTACAATATGGGGTGGTCTTGAGCCTCGTTAAAACTACAACAATTGTCAATGGCCCAACTTAATGGCATTTACATTTCAATGGGGAAAAGATGATGTCAGAGCACCACTTAAATATTTTCTGCTGATGTGCTTCTGTTTCTCATTATCGACTGTTCGGTTTCGACCAGAGGGATCGCTTCTTGGCAAGCGTGCGGCCGTGTTTTCGAATGCTCGCAATGATTTACACACCCCGGCGCTCGCTTTCATTCCAGCGTGCGGCCGCACAAATACACCAGTGTGTGCTCGTGTTGGGCTGCGCGTTGAGACTGACAGACGCGCGCATAGTCGGGACAGTGTTGCGTGTGTACGTGGAGGTCACACACACACGCACACCCACACGCGTATAGACACATATAGCTCACATTGGTGTTTGTGTTTCTGATTAGCTCAATTTGTTTGATCTAATTCCAGTCTGTGCTGTGTGCATGGAAACATCGGAGTGCTTCATCCCCTAAATCGCGAGTCAGCCAGCTGCAAAGACACCCGAAAAGTAGTTTCTGATACTCTGTGCTGTTAAAACGCCATCGGCTCAAGCAGTAAAGCCACGAGTCCTCTAAAATGTGCATTTGCAAAATCTCATTTGTGCTTCTCCGTTCCAAATTAAGCTCTGGTTTATAGTCTTACTTTTGTAGTTGAGTGTAACGTGGGTTTTGTCCCCCCCCCTCCCCCCCCCCTTGCCCAGGACAGTGTCCAACAATACCAAAACAATCTCTCGGGCTGGATTTCCTGTTTGGCACTTGAACAACGGCCCAGTAAGGAGAATCTGGGTTGCATATGACAAAACAAAGAACAGTGAAGGATGAGGCCACTTATTGTGGACAGACGAGCGTGAGAAAAACTCGCATCTGACGGGAGCCTGGTCCATATGCTGTTTGCGGTCGACATCATCGACCAAATCCCCAAATCCGTGGCGTAGCAACGGGACGTTTGCGCCCCCAAATTCAAGATTAGGATAAACTCATGAAAAACCAAAAATTATGTAGGAAGTCCATTCGAATCAAAACTTTTCGAGCCAAAGTTGAGTTGGTTTGTGTCCATAGTTTTTTCATCGGCTGGAGTTACGATGCGTCTCATTTTTTGAAATTGCAAAACGTTTGAGGAGTTGTAATGAGCCAAACGGCCAGCAGGGGGATCAATGCAATCACCTGTTTGCCAACTGTTTCCACTTTGGCGGAGGAGAATGTATTTTTGTTGTAGCGCCACCTACTGCTTTGGCGGCTTTTTTTTCTAAGTACTTGCTATGCATGCATGCTAGGCCTCACTGGCCCCCTGCATCCAAAATGGCTGACCAATTAACCGCAGCTTAACTCCCAACTGGATCCAAACACCCTGCGCGTAGACACAATCTCGCCGGCAGCGCTCAAGCGCCACACACAGATGAGGAAACACACACAGATACATACTCATTAACAAAGGCTTAGCATTGCTTAGTGTCCCCCCCCCACTCCCCGCCCCCCAACAAAGAGCGGCCCCCCACGGAGGAGGTGAAACACACCTCACTCGTCACCTGATCCTCACCCTTGACTGCATCCGAATGGGCAATGAAAACCCTGCCTGGGGTATCAGGTGGGGTAGGCAGATTAACCCCCCAGCCCCCCAACCTTCCACACTATCTGCTCTGTCCCAAATGGACGGATGCATCAAGTGGAGTTGGCATCTCAAAATAAACGCGCCTGCTGGGCCGCTTGTTTTCCATAACTGCCACTAGAGGCCGCAAGTGGCTTCGGCACGAATTCCA